GCATGGTACTGGTATGTTAATTGGTAATTGGTACTGTAATGTAATGTAAACAAAGGGGATAGAGGATGGATTGGGCTAAAGAAGGGATAAAGACAGGATAAAGACAAGCAAAGGGATAGAGATGGGATAAAGAAGGGATAAAGACAGGATAAATACAAAGCCAAAGGGATAAAGATGGGATAATGAACGGATAAAGACGGTATAAACACAAAGCCAAAGGGATAAAGATGGGATAAAGAAGGGATAAAGAAGGGATAAGCACAAAGCAACCTGTATGTTGGCAACCTACAGGTCTGCCGTGGATTGCTGGACCGGCTTTGGGGCTGTATGTTGGCAACCTACAAGTCTTTTTGCGGGTTGTTGGACCGCCTTTGGCGCTGTATGTTGGCAACCTACAGGTTCTTATCGGGGTTTCTTGACTGCCTTTGGGGCTGTAGGTTGGTAACCTACAGGTCTGCCATGGGTTTGCTGGACCGCCTTTAGGGCTGTATGTTGGCAACCTACAGGTCTTTTTGGTGATTGCTGAACCGGCTTTGGGGCTGTATGTTGGCAACCTACAGGTCTGCCGTGGGGTTACTGGACCGGCTTTGGGGCTGTAGGTTGCCAACATACAGCCCCAAAGGCGGTCCAGCAATCCCCAAAAAGACCTGTAGGTTGCCGACATACAGCCCCAAAGGCGCTCCAGCAACCCGGTCCAGCAACCACCAGAAGAACCTGCAATTAGGTGCCTTTGGGGCTGTAGGTTGGCATTCTACAGGCCTTATCAGGCGTTAATGGACCAGCTTTGGGGCTGTATGTTGGCAACCTATGTAATGGTATGTAGTGGTATGTAATGGTATGAAATGGTATGTATTGGTATGTAATGGTATGTATTGGTTTGTAATTATTTGCATGTAATGGATTGCATTGGTATGTAATGGCATGTAATTAATGATATGTAATGGTATGCAATGGTATGTAATGGTATGTAATCGTATGTAATGGTATGCAATGGTATGTACTGGTATGGAATGGTATGTAATGGTATGTAATGGTATGTAATGGTTTGTAATGTACTGTAATGTAACGTAACCTACTGCAATTTATTTGGAAATTTGAAAATGCGAAGGGGATGTCCACTTGATTAATTATGTATTTGCTTTCAATTAGGCAATTCATTTGTGAATGCTAAAGTGGAAAGAAAGTTCACTTTATGTAATTCTTTGTTTTCATTTAGGCAATTAACATCACAATAATGTGTCAGTATACTCAACCCCTAAATAAAGTATTCTGAAATATGTTTCCACCTTTGACATCACAATAATTTGTCAGTATACTCAACCCCTAAATAAAGTATTCTGAAATATTTTCCCACCCTTAACATCAAAATAATAATGAATGTTTGCACTCCCCTAAATAAAGTATTTGGATTTCAGAGGTCTATTTTTTTGCAATTCATGTGGGAATACTAAAGTGGAAAGAAAGTTCACTTTAATTATGTAATTATTCATTTTCAATTAGGCAATTCATTTGGGAATACATAATTAGATGTTTTTTTTGGAAAGTTCCCTTTATGTAATTGTTTTCAATTAGGCAATTCATTTGGGAATACATAATTAATTAGGTGATTTCTTTTTTTGGAAAGTTCCCTTTATGTAATCGTTTTCAATTAGGCAATTCATTTGGGAATACATACGTGTTTTTTTTTGGGAAAGTTCCCTTATGTATTCGTTTTCAATTAGGCAATTCATTTGGGAATACTAAAATGAAAAATAAAAAAATCAACCCTTAACATCAAAATAATAATGAATGTTTGCACTCCCCTAAATAAAGTATTCTGAAATATTTGTGCACCCTTGACATCACAATAATTTGTCAGTATTCTCAACCCCTAAATAAAGTATTCTGAAATATTTGTGCACCCTACACATCAAAATAATAATGAATGTTTGCACTCCCCTAAATAAAGTATTCTGAAATATTTGTGCACCCTTGACATCACAATAATTTGTCAGTATACTCAACCCCTAAATAAAGTATTCTGAAATATTTGTCCATCCTAATTTATGTAATCGTTTTCAATTAGGCAATTCATTTGGGAATACATAATTAGGTGATTTTTTTTCTGGAAAGTTCCCTTTATGTAATCGTTTTCAATTAGGCAATTCATTTGGGAATACATAGGTGGTTTTTTTTTCTGGAAAGTTCCCTTTATGTAATCGGTTTCAATTAGGCAATTCATTTGGGAATACATAGGTGGTTTTTTTTCTGGAAAGTTCCCTTCTGTATTCGTTTTCAATTAGGCAATTCATTTGGGAATACTAAAATGAATAATACAAAAAAATCAACCCTTAACATCAAAACAATAATGAATGTTTGCACTCCCCTAAATAAAGTATTCTGAAATATTTGTGCACCCTTGACATCACAATAATTTGTCAGTATTCTCAACCCCTAAATAAAGTATTCTGAAATATTTGTGCACCCTACACATCAAAATAATAATGAATGTTTGCACTCCCCTAAATAAAGTATTCTGAAATATTTGTGCACCCTTGACATCACAATAATTTGTCAGTATACTCAACCCCTAAATAAAGTATTCTGAAATATTTGTCCATCCTAATTTATGTAATCGTTTTCAATTAGGCAATTCATTTGGGAATACATAATTAGGTGATTTTTTTTCTGGAAAGTTCCCTTTATGTAATCGTTTTCAATTAGGCAATTCATTTGGGAATACATAGGTGATTTTTTTTTTCTGGAAAGTTCCCTTTATGTATTCGTTTTCAATTAAGGAAATCATTCGTGAATACATAGGTGATTTTTTTTTTGGAAAGTTCCCTTTATGTATTCGTTTTCAATTAGGCAATTCATTCGTGAATACATAGGTGATTTTGTTTTTTGGAAAGTTCCCTTTATGTATTCGTTTTCAATTAGGCAAATCATTCGTGAATACATAGGTGATTTTTTTTTTGGAAAGTTCCCTTTATGTATTCGTTTTCAATTAGGCAATTCATTCGTGCATACATAGGTGATTTTTTTTTTTGGAAAGTTCCCTTTATGTATTCGTTTTCAATTAGGCAATTCATTCGTGAATACATAGGTGATTTTTTTTTTGGAAAGTTCCCTTTATGTATTCGTTTTCAATTAGGCAATTCATTCGTGAATACATAGGTGATTTTTTTTTGGGAAAGTTCCCTTTATGTATTCGTTTTCAATTAGGCAATTCATTCGTGAATACATAGGTGATTTTTTTTTTGGAAAGTTCCCTTTATGTATTCGTTTTCAATTAGGCAATTCATTCGTGAATACATAGGTGATTTTTTACGATAGTTGAATGTTTGGCCCTAACTTTATTGTGACTCCTTTAATGTTTGGGGGGGGGGTTATTAATCCGATGTTGACATTAAGGAAATTAAGAAGAGGAAACTAACAACAACCTATAACAACAACCTTAATATATTTTTGAAAAAAGACGGCGAAAAGACAAGGTAGCCATGATCTAGCGACAACGCAAGACTGCATCCCAAATGGCGGGCCGTGCCTCAGGCATATTCGTCGGCCCAAGATGTCTCGAATCCAACAGCCAGCCTGCAATTGAAAATAAACACGCGCAAATCCACTTCTTATTTGAAGCTGTTGCTCAAAAATTCGATGCTACCACATGCTATCCACTTCTGGCGTGCGACTGCCTGAGTTGGAAATAGTTGACCAGTCGTCCCAATACGACTTGGAGAACTATCTTCTAAAATTGCGAGGGGCCCAAAATCAGCAACCTCTTTCACCTACGTTGGCAAAAGTCCTTTTTTCCGGTTCAAACGCAGATCGGTGAAGGTCACGCCTCCTCGGTCTACTCCTATGGTACAGAGCCCTTGGCGCCGGTTCACTGGGTTCACCGAGTTCATGGGCGACTGAGACCGAGAAAATTAAAACCGCGCCACGCAGTCAGAGCGATTGAAGCTCGAGGGTCACTTTTCACGCTCAGTTTTGACAGGGGCACATCTTGCCTCAGTTTCCAATCAGTCAACATGTCTTGACGTCTGTCACTTTATTGTCATTTCTGACATCGCGCTTTGTCGCACAGCACATGAAGCTGCGTCGGCATGTTGCACTGCTAAACGCCGTGCTGATCAGAGGTGGTTCCAAAGAAAGCCTCCTTTGCTTGTTGAGTATCTTGGAGAAGGAAGTAGAGTGAGTGCATAGTGAGCGCATGCTGTGCGAGACTTGGCAAGGTTTCACCAGACTTTGCACAAATCTTAAGTGGCAAGACTCTGGATCATGCCGAAGGACTGCAAAACCCTGTGAACACATGCCAACATCTGTGAGAACGCTCTTATCCAGAGGCACAATCGGTTGGGATAGTGATTTTGATCTTTGTGAAGCTGGTGAAGCACACATCTTCAGGAATTTCAATCCAGGAACTGCGGTTTGGCAACAAGTATTGCTGCAAGTTGATGGAAAAAAGTTCAGCGTACGACTGCTTTTCTTCGAGCGCAACTCCACCCAAGCACTTTGAGACTTCGATGAATTCAAATCAACAGTGGCGCAGTCGTCAGGTCAAACTTGGCAACTTCAAACAATTCAAACCGTGCCATTTCTTTGAGACACCTGACAACGACAATTTTGAGGCCAAACTGACCCAACAAATTTCTCAGTTGGTATGGCATCGAGCTGAACCAAAGTCGCATCGATCTCGCACTCCTCGAGCGTAAGGGACACGGAGGTCGCTCCTCCGGGGTGACTTGAGTGGCCCTGGCTCTGACCCGCTTGGAGGCAGGTCTTGTCGTTGCAAGGCCAAGTCACAGAGGATCTAGAGAGTTGTTTCGTGTCGAACGAAGTCGCTTTCAGAGTTGTTGTTGCAAGAGAAAGCATGTTCAGTATGCGTTGATCATCGTTGATCGCATTGCTGCTTCATCCTTGGCATTGGGGCACCTAGTGTCACTTGCACATCCTGCTTGACACGCAATCTCGCACCGAAACCTTTGACTGTCTACGTTGTTGACCAGGACCATAGGCTGTCAAGCATGCAATTCGGCGCAGGTATGTGAAGTGCTCGACCGAAGGTGCAATACAGCTATGGACCTTACTTGCATCTCAGAATGTCATGCGTTTGGCTTCTGAGTTCGATCGCGACAATTTCGGAAATCCGTCCGCACCGAAGGTGCCGAGGCGTGGTAGTTTGGCAGCTGAGTGGTTCGTATGAACCAACTGTTCGATCGACCCGTTGCCAAAAAGGGTTCTCAATGTGGTAATTTGCACATGTTGCATGTTGGCACAATGTCACCGTTTCGACCCGACATGTCCGGAACATGGGCTCCACTTGGGGCCAGCTTCCGCCAACAAGCCTCCACCTTGGGCCCAACTTCGGCCCGACTTGGGCCCAACATGCCGCAGCTTGGTCCAACATTGCGCAACTTGGGCCCAAGTTGGGCCTCTTTGGGGGGCAGCCCAGGCCGAAGCTGGGGCCCAACCAGGGTGAATTTTGCGGACTCAATGCGGCACGCTGAAAACTTGCATTTTTGGCGCTATTTCCCACATCTTTTGGCTTCGATGGGGGTTCGTGCTGGGCCGTGTTAGGCCCAGCTTTGGCGGCAGTTGCTCCCAGCTTTTCATGCACTACAGCCTTCGCTCGAATGCACCAAAGCAAATTTCAAGAAGCCCTTGCAAAAACACACTGCAATAAAAACCTGCTAAACACATCGACCGTCCCCAACCCCACGCACCCAAAAACAGAAACTTCAAATAACTTGAACATGGCTACAGTCCCGAGCCGTGACTCTGCGTCGTATCTCATTTCCTTCTACCGTCCCCGCTCCTCAGTCTCAGCCCCCCTTGATGCTTCCACGCTTTCTGCCTCGGATAGCAGCTAGCAAAATCCCCCGCCGCTCCACCGGCACTGCTCCCCAATCCACTTCAAGCCCACAGCTGCATAGTATTGCCATCTATGCATTTCCCTTTTCCTGAGCCATGAAAATACGTGCCGCCCAAACAAGTCTTCAGCTTTCAATATCCCATCAAAATATCGACCTGAAATGGCTTCAATTTCCAATACATTACGACACGACCGTTAGATCGTTGGAATGCTGCCCATCTCGTCTTCACTCCTGCGGCTCCACGAGCCCGCTTCTTTCCTCTCTGTCCTATTCACTGGTTGCCGGCGGTACTCGTCGCGAAGCGACCCAAGTCCGAGCGTACCTTACCTCTCAGACATGGACTACTAGACCGTCTGTATTCAAAAGTCACTGGCACAGAACTCAAGGAGGCACATTGCACGAAAACAAAACGCAAACACTGTAACAAAAAGTAAACATACCCACTTACAAGTGTGATCCTAGAAATAGGATGTATCAAAAGTCTGCTGACGTGACACTTCCCTTCACAGAGGCCTTGATCTACCAGAATGATGTGCTGCCTCTGCTGCTTCTCCACTTTGATGAGAGTCAAACCAGTCAATGAAGGCCAGATGAAGCGCAACGGCTGAAGGAAGCCGTTTTGGCGACTCGAAGGGCGTGGAGTTAGAAGGCACGCCGATGAACGCTGACCAGAACAGCTGCCTCGTAGCATTTTTCGAAGCAGCGCTCTAATGACTCTAATGTTGGAAATCAAAAAGAATGACATGAGAGCTGCGTAGAACATAGCATGATGTTGAACCGACAAATTGACACACTTGCAAAAATAGACTCCTCGTAGTGCAGCCGTGCTACTCAGAAACTTGTCCTGGGACATCACAAATCTTGGCTTTTCCACTTCAGACATGAAGCCTTCCTCCTGCAGCAGAAATCTGGTTGGAAAGCCAAGTGGCTGAGCGATGCAACAACCAAGAAAAATCACAGGGCAAGAGAGAGGGAGGGAGAGAGAGAGAGAGAGAGTACAACAGTGCATGCAAAAAAGATAACAAACATAAACATGTCAGTGGTATTTTGATGCAAACATGACATTATTGCAGCTGATCGTCAGGCTCTGAGGCAAAAATCCGAAACTCATCAGCCTGTCATGCGCCGCTTACCCGACTAAGCACCCCACGAGCTGATGCTGATCGCATTGGTAGAGCTGCTCCTGAGCGAATCACAAAGAATCTGACAAATCAAGGGTCCACACGAACTTGAAACCGTGGTGCACAACGAAATTCAGACCTGTCGTCTCACTCTCCCCCTTTCCCTGACTCAACAAAAATCATAGCTAAATCAATAACTTTTTGAATTCATAGAAATTCCATCTCCAATCACTTCAGGCTGTAGTTACTGTCATGATACATGCCCTACTTCTTGCGGTAAAAATGTTGGATCATGCTTTGGAAGATTTGAAATGTGATTATAACTGCGATCCAAGCGGCAGAAGCGGAAGCGGCGTAAATCTCTCAAACGCTTTCGCTGTGAAGGCAGTGTCAGCTTGACTCTGGGAAGTCTCTGCCCTTGACTTCGACGTTCAGAAGGCAGTTTCCTCTCAAACTTCTGGTTGAAAGCTTTGGCCGAAAGAATCGAGTTGGCTACGCTTGACCCTGACTCCGCTTGCTGCCCTTGCTGACACAGTTCAGAATGAATTGTGCGCACTGTGGCCCAAAGTGCAGCACTTGCAATCCATGAAACTTGGCTGAAGGAGAAAATCGGAGGCCCCGAACGCCATGATGACGTCCCACGCTGCATAGTCTTATCTTTGGCAATGGGTAGAGTCCAAAAGGGCTATGTCAAGGTTCACCGACTCTTGGCTATGCAAAAAGCCGCAACGTTTATGCAAAGGATCCTTGCAACAGGAAGCATTCTCTGCAACCCGAACCTCAAGGACATGCAAACATCTGCAAGCTGCGGGTCGAGATCCAGGAGCTGGTTGAATCAAGCACATGCTGACAAGTTTCTTTTGGCTTCTGGATCTCGTTCATCACGAGCTCTCACAACAGATTTCCGCAGAGGACTGGGAGTTTACAATGCCTTGAACAGCCAGCTAGACTTACCACACCCTTCAATCGATCAGGATGCGTACAGCCTGGGAAGGCTACAGCCTGGGAAGGCTCTCAAAAGACGCATCTCGGAAGGCTTCAAGGTCTTTCTCAACGGTGCAAAAGAAACATCCATGATGGCTATGTCAAGGGAAGTAGTGGGAAAGACTTCACCAAACTCGTTCTGAAGAACAGTCAATCTTGTCTTGCCTTTTTGAGAGTTTGTGACAGGAGCATGGATCCGGGAGCAGGCACATAGTCTACTGCTGTCAGAGACTTTGGACACGCATTTCACAATGCAGCTAGGTTGGTGCCTTGCTAAGTGTCAGCGGTTTGGGAAATTCCCACTTGTGATGGGCGGTGTGCAGAATGTCGGTAGAAACTCAAAATGTTGGTATTGTGACGATGCACTCTTGTCTCACGTCACTCTCTTTGCGAACATCACGATGCCGCTATCAGAGTCCGGGTCTCAGCTGGATGAACAGCCGTATGGCACCCGAGGTTCAACTTGAGATTGGATTGGGACTATATAGTGAATTTTTCGCAGGTTGGATTGCGAGGCTTTTACAAAATCGCAAAGATTTTGCGTTTCTTTTTTTTTTCACTTGGCTCATGCGCGGAGAGGGTAGGTGTTTCAAACCTGCAAAACCAGAACCGAAATAACTTCACCAATGCTGTCAATTTGTAACTTCAATGTGCGAGATTGGCAACAGCAAACGTGACCCTGCAACCAGGATTGCTCAAGGCTAAATCAGACTTGAGTTCATTCAAATTGGAGAAATCCCAATGGCAGCAACATCTGGCCGATGGGCAAGATCGTCTTTGGCAACAGTAGCGGCGCTGGGTTTGGATGGTCCTGATGGTGCCTAAACAGGCTTTTGGCTGCATGGAAAGTGATGGACGAACATCATGTGAGCACGCTCGAAGCTGGCAATCCAGGAAGTCCCTGAGATGCTGCCATTGTTGCCATTTATCACCTTTCAACGGAATAACATAGGTAGATTTGTTTGATATGAAATTCACCTTAGCAATTGATGCGGGGATTCTTGGAAAGTCACGAGTGAACTTTTTGTTCCCGTGGGCGAAGCTGACACGGCGCCAGCTAACGGACAATTCACTCAGGGCGGGACGGAATCAACGCCGAGTCAAGCAAGTCACACGAATCTTTGCATTGGACAATCAAACCAATCGGATCAATCGGCGTGTTGGCTGTGCTCGAGTCTTGTTGGCTGAAATTGGAACCAGACTGCTCTGAAGTGTGACAATGTCCGAACTTCTTTGAGCAAGCTGGCATCCTATGCAACGCCGGGTGACATTTGATATCTGCGTGAGACTTGCTGTCGCTGATGCGGCTTTCGACCCCAAATTTGCAGGAGCCATTTGGTCATGTTGCCTTTTATGATTGTCATCTCTTTCACATCTGTCTTCTCTGTCTCATTGTAACTGCAACGGATCCCTTCAAGCAGTCTTCAGGCTGGCTCGATCTGTTGTAGACTTGCTGCAGACATCTGCAGGCCATGTTTTTCAGACTTTGGGCGGCTGAAGTCACTGGGAGAAATGATCTAAGGTCAAGCTTGGAATGCAACATCAAGTGACATGTCCTGGATTGTTCTGGTTTCATTTGTGACATTTTCACTCCGCACTTCAAGACTTCAAGTCAGACTCCTTCAAGCCGTGGCGAGCTGGTGACGTAGCTCTGGCAGCCACACGACGACATGAGGATTTCAGCGACTTAACCACTTCGACGGTGCATCCAACCGTGACTTCACCGTCTCACTGAGTCAAGACAGTCAAGACACCCAGGGACGTGACTTGTCAGGTGATTTGCAGTTTTCTCTTTCGGCAGACTCAAGACACTCTAAGGCAAAATCAGCTACTGAAGTTTCAGAGGATGTCAAAACGCATGGCAACCAACAAGTCCAACATGAGAAACAGGGCTGCGAACGCTGCAAAGACTGCGATGCTTCAGGAAGCGTCATTTCTACTTTTGGTCAGGCACTTGCATACGTTCAGACTTGACGGGTTGCTTTGCTTCTGACTTCAGGCCCCTTTTACTTGCATGGCATGGAATTTCATCTCAAGCTTGGGCAGCCTCCATCACCGTTGGTCACGATCTTGAACAAAGACCCAAGAGAAGCGAATGTCATCCGAAAACAAAAAACGAGGAGATCTTCAAAGAAGTCAGGTTTTCACATCACCTTGTGAATCGGTCAAATATTAAGGCAAACTTGGCGACGGCTGTCCTTCAACTTTCTTGGGCGACTTGAAGTGACCGGCAAAACAGAAACTAGGCCAGATGCAGTTTGCGAACTCTGACTCGAATTCTGAGCCAAACTGAGACTGGCTTCACGGATTTGATTTGGACCAATTGAACCACACTTCAACATGATCGGCCAAGCAAGCCTGAAGCCCTGCACATCAAGCTTACAATCGATGGTGCTCTTTGCGTCCCAAATCCATTGTTTCGGGTTACTGCAGAGTGGAGTCGTGTTCCTGGCTTTTCGACCTCTTCGCCGGGGGGGTTTTAAATCCGGTCAATAATGGAGTGCTAGACTTCACAGAGAGCAATCCAGGTCCATGCAAAGGTTGGAAGCAATTCGGACATGACAGGCTCAACGAGCACCTTCTTTCACCTGAGCTGACACAGGACCTGACACATGAGCTAACACATGAGCCGCATGATTGGTCGATTATTTCACCCAAAAGGATTGCATAATTTTGCGGATATCTGTCTTCCAGCTATCATGTTCCAACCCATTTTCCGGAAAGCTGCCGACACACGAGAACAAGGTGCGGCACTTTGCAGCAAGTTGAACTTGACTCTGTGGGGCCTGCTACAATGGCATAATGATGTTGTCACAACAGCAAGATCTATCATGCTATTTTTGGGTCAACCGCTTCCAGGCTATCCGACAATTTGGTGATTGGACGGTACTGGACAAATCTAGAAAAGACTGCCCTACCAACAGGTCCAGCTTTGAAAATGCTTGCAGTGAATCCTTTCAAACACGTGCAGGCTCCTCGGTTGCTTGCTCTTGGCGACGAGAAGAAAACACATGCTTGCAAGACAAGCAGGCATCTGCAAAAAATCTTTCTGACATGATTCTGAGGCTTGGGAGTGTTGGCTCTCATCTCATTGCTTTCTACGAGTCTTCGTGCGTGCAAGGGAAACAAACTTATCCATGTCTACGTCTTTGTCTTTGCCTTGGTCATTTTTGCCAAGCTCTTAGGAAGCTGAACTGTTTCCAGCAAACAGAACCTTTGGACGGCAAAATGCTACGTCTGCTACGTAAGACACGAGAAGACTAAACCACGCTTGGCGCAGCTTGGGTTGCGACCTCTGAAAGTACCCGCCTTTCTGTAAAAGCTTATGTGTGCAGTGTGTCACAGCATTCTCCTCATGACTCAAAACGCAATTTGGATGCTTCAGTGCAAGTAGGGATGACACATTCTCATTGTTGACATCCAGAAAGAGACACTGGAGTCAGCAACCCGTAGTCTCCAAACAGAGCCAACCGATCGACAGGAGAAATGGCAACTTGTGATAACTTTGAAGCATGAGAAATCAATGAACTATGAGAAAAGAAGCTTGGTTGTTCCTTGCAAGACTGAACATTGAATGTGTTCGAGTCAAATGTTCTGACAACACATGCTGGACATGTTAACTCAGACTCATTCCTGCGAATTTGAAACAGCCGAAACTGAATCATGCTTTCATTCGGATATTTGGCGCGAATAATTGGCCAAGCTGTGTCGTGTCTTGGAGCAATGCGCAATGGATGTAGTCCCAAAAATGAAGACCTCTGCCATATGGTGCTTGCTC